ACCGGGGATCGAACTTGGAACCTTGCGCTTGTGAGGCAGGCGCCGGAACCACTGAGCTAAATCTCCGGCCCCCAAATTTCAAAATGTAAAGACCAAAGAGTTCCCTAGAACAAAAGGTCCTGTAGCTGTGTGCAGCTACCCACAGCACTTGTCCTGACCAGGAAACGATGCACATGAACACACAGCAGAGCTGCCATTCACCCAACACACTCTGGTTCCTGAGGGTCCATCTTTTCCAGGGGTTCGGGAGTTCATCAGCCTCCCCAGGGGTGTCCTTAGGCATTTCTTACATGCTTATTATCTCAATTATAATTAATTCGAGTCAAACACAGAGGTAGTTGCAGCCAGGATTCAGTCAGCAAGATGGGGAAGGATGCTCCATTCTTCCTGGCTTTCGAACCCAAGGATTCTCATAATCATATTGAAGGGTGTGTGCAAGTTACACATGAAATATCTAGGATCTAGTCCTTGGGAGGTAAAGAGTTAAATCTGTGAACACACAGATAAGGAAAAAGTTAATGGGGGTTTACCCCAGGTAGCAGGATAACTACTCACTTTAATATTTGTATTCTTTTCTTTTCCTCTATTTTCAAATCCTTCCAGAAATATTAGGTAACAGACCAAACATTTTTTTCTTTTTTGGGTGCTAGTGTGTGAACCCAGGGCCTTATGTATGTTCAACCACTGAGCTACATCCCTAGCCTCCAAACTCTCTCAGAAGAAGCCAGATATGAACCCCTATCAAGGTGCCCAGATCTGCAGTTCCCAAGAGACTCTCTTCCCTTCACGGGACACAACCTGAAGCAGCACCCACCAAGAGCCTATAATCCCTGGACTTTGAGGGAATGTGACTCAAGGCAGAGGTGTATCCAGGGTGGTTGCTAGTCGCCATTCTCTTTTGGGCATCATATTTTAGACTTACACCAAGAACCCTCTTTTTCTGTTCATCCTAGCATCCTTCAGTGTTTTATTTTGCTTTTTCTGAGACAGGGTCTTGCTGTGTAGTTCAGGCTGGCCTGGAACTCAGAGTGATCCTGCCTCAGTCTCCCGAGTGTTGGGATTACAGGTGGGCATCACCAGACTCGGCTTCCTCCGGTATTAACAGAAATATTTTCCAGCTGTTCTCTCTTTTACATCAGCTTTGTGTTTTGCCCTAACCCCAGCCAGTAATTTGCTTCCTCTGACTATTTTCTAGTCTTGTGTCCCATCACACCAGGCCAAAAAATAGCTGAAGACTGCACTGATCACCTCTGGTATTGCTTCAAGTCCAGCTTTCTGGGTAGCATGCCCATCTATTTCCATAACCAAATCTGAGACCTTAGTGATTAACAAAAAAAAGGTAGGGCCCGGGATTTAGCTCAGCGGTTTCACTGTCTGCTGTGCAAGCCCAAGGACCCGAGTTCAATACCCAGTACCAAAAAGCAAAAAAAACAAAAACAAAGAGAAAGGTACTATGAAATACCAAGTAAGCATTCAGTGAACACCTGCTACCCAAAACACTCCTATGAGGGTTTTCTTGAAATGTCCCTCTTCCCACACTGCTCCTGCCCTGTACCAAAAAAAAAAAGCCTGTTGGGAAAACAGGGTATTAAATATTTGTCTCACTTCCCTAAAAAAACATTTTTTTCTCCTATGTTCAGACTTAATTATTTTACTATCAGGTCTGGCTAATAGATTACCACCTCAAGACAGATCTGAGAGGACATCGATGGGAAAGCTGGCAAGCAGCCTCTGCAAGGCAGGACCACACACACCTGCTCCCTGCTCCAGGAGGCCTGGAGTCTGGAGGCACAGGCATGAGGAGACCCAGCAGCTTGCTTCGCTGCCCAGGATTGTGACATATCCTCCTATGAGTGCTGCAGGGGCACAAGAAGGGATGGGGAGAGGGGCCCTCCATTTCTACTCATTCTCAGTCAGAAACCCACTGAAATGCTACTAGGACTCTTAGACTGCTGAACACTCAAAAAATATTGGAAGGAAAAAGTATTAAGATAGCAACAGTCATTATCTCTGGCTAAATGAGAATTATCTTTAAACATTTTTGTAATTTTCAAATATTCCACAGTGGGCTGATTTAACTTTAAAAGACAAAAACAAGGGCCAGATATTTAGCTCAGTGGTTTTGAGGACTGCTGCGCAAGCACAAGGACCCGAGTTCCATGCTCGGTACCAAAAAACTAAAAATAAAAAATAAAAAACAAAAACAAAACCCAAAGTTTGTTGCTTCCCAAGAAAGCAAGCAAGCAAATGTCTTGACACTGATATTAGCCACCTGTCACAAAGTGCCTCTTCCCCCTCTTACATAAGAGCGCTGACAGCTGGGAGTGTAGCTCAAGAGGTACACAGCTTGTCCATCCCCAGTACGGCAGAGGGGAAAATGCTGAAAGGTAAGAAATAGCTTGTAAAGCATTTGACAAATGACATCCAGAGAATGGGACAGGAGCAAGGGAATTTTGATGACTTCTAAACTTTTTTGTTCCAAAAGTAGAGAAAATCTTAGTTAGGTTTCAACAACTAAAAGAATAATTATAATTAAAGCAGACTGAAGCAAGCCTTGTTACCTTGTGTTGTTCTGGGACAGGTGTGGTGCACTTGTAAGAGTAATCCAGGCCCATTTCCCCAAATGCCACAGCCTTGGGGTGCCTTAAGGCTTGCAAAAGATTTCTTTCTTGATTCTCACTATAGTACCGTGCAAAATGAGGGTGACAGCCAAAGGCCCCCCAAACCTGATCCTCCTTCAATAGCTCCTCCCACAGGCAATCTGTCAGTGTCCGAGGATCACAGAAGTCTGAGATGCAGCCCTGAAACTCCTTAGGGAAAGAGCTGCTATACATTTTCCTGAACTTTGTGAAGGTCCCTTTGAAAGACAGCTTGGAGTAGAGCATGTCCAAGTGACAATGGGTATCAATGAAGCCCTCCTCCAGGCCTGGATCCTGGTGGCTCCTTGGCAGGAAAGTAGATGTGTGTCCTCCACCAGAACAAGGTGGTGTCTCCTCTCGAAATGTTCTTTTCTCCTTCACCTCTTCTCCTCCAGAGCTTTTGGAGAAATAAAACGAGCGAGAATTCTTCGATCTGCCTTTATCTTCGGCCTTCAGGTCTTTGGAGGTATTCTGGGCACCCACTGTAGGGCTGGGGGAATAATCACACAGGAGGCTGCAGCTCCTCTTCCCAGCATGCACTGTGTCATGGCTGCTGCTGCACACAGAGGGGTAGCCTGGAGTCTTGGGGCTGCTGGTCCAGTAGCTGGCATAGTCACACCATGGACTACTATACAAATGAGGAGGGTACATGACATAGTCAGTGGGGAAGAAAGAAGGCTCTGGAACTGCTGAGTATTTCAGCGAGATGGGCTCCTCCTGAGAGAATCTCACTGTAGAGACTTCGTCCACATCAGACCAGTCACTTCCTGAAGAGAGGTGCTCCAGCACCACCTCCCTGTCTTTATGCTGCAGAAAGGAAATGACAATGTGTTAGTCTTCCCACATGCAAACAACCCTTGTGCTTAGAGGCCTGGTGTGAGGATGGCCTGTCCCTTCTGCAGCTCATGTGGGAGGCTAATCCCCACTATGAGGACTCAAGAGGGTGGAAATTTAATCCAACTGTAGGATTTGGAGGTGGGGCCTTTGGGAGGTAGTTTAGGTTAGCGAAAGTCATCTGGATGGAGGCCCAGGATTGAATCCTGTTGGCTTTATAGGTTGATGGACAGAAACCAGACAATAAGACTCAAGTGGGCTTGCTATCTCTTGCCATGAGATGCCCTATCGACCCTGGGTCTCTGCCAGCAAGAATATAGTCCCTTGACCTTGGACCAGAACCACACGAAAATGATAGTGTTATTAGCAAGGGGATCAGACATAAATCCTGGCTCATTTTCTGTGCAGCTTTCACAGAACCACCTTTCACCTGGTTGCCTTACAATTTGCACAGATTCCAGAAGTGAAATCTGCCAGGTTATAGCACAGGCTGCAGCTGTGAACAGTCCTATCAAGTTTGGGGAATGCACCTGTGATCACTGCACTCTGCCCCTAAAGGGGATGCTATACCTGTGGTTCCTTTGCTTAATGGTCCCTCTGGAGAAAAACTGCTCTGCAGAATGCACTCCATACTGAGGATCTGAGGGAAAGCAGTGACACCTAACAACATTTCCAATACACCCAAAACACAAACCACTACCTCTGTGGTCTAAAACATGTCCCCAAATTATTGGGTCTGTGGCTTCCCCCCTTGAATCCATGTTACTATGCTTCATCTGCAATCCACAGAACACAGAAGGAAAGCCATGGGAGCTCCAGGAGTAGGCCACACAGCCTTGTGGCCTCTAGCTGTGCTCTCAGCTGGCTTACTCCAAGGGCAGCCAAGCCATAACCAAGAAGTCACCTGCAGGTATAGGTGTGTGGCCTGGCACCCACTAAGCTAAACCAGCACAGCTGTCACCCCATCCAGCCGTGGGAGAGCCCCACATGAGGTCTACCCTGGCTACACTTTCTCAACTCCTGAGCCACAAAACTGAAAGCAAAACAAACCTCTAAGCCACTCACTAGCAACAGTAACATGAACAGCCAGGCCTTGCCTCAAATCGATTTAGCACTAACAGGATGTAGGCAGCACATGGTCAGGAGCTTTTGTTTCTTCACTGAGATCTTCTGGACAGGGCCTGGCAGACAGTAACTGCTCACAAATATTCACTGAATCTATAGAACTAATGGCCTCATCTTCACATCATCACCAAGTGGGCAGCATTTTAAAAATAGATTTTAAAACCCACCCCACCCTAAAATACTATGACTCAATGGTCCAGAGTTCAGGTCAAGAAATCTGTCTAATTCTCCATGTAACTTTGATGCAGCAAAGTCTGAGAAATACAGTAAGCACACAGATACCAACTGGGACTAAAGTCAACTTTACTTCAATCCATCATTTCTTGCTAATGAAGTCATTTACATCTACCAGTGCCAGATAGCTTGAACAAGAGGCCTTATAAGGTTATTTTTTTTGCCAGGCATGCATAGTGGCACATGCCTGTAATCCTAGCACTTGGGAGGCTGAGGGAGAAGGAAGGATCGCCAGGAATTTGAGGCCTGCCTGGGCTACATAGCGAGTCTCTGTCTCAAAAAAAAAAAAATATTTTCTTAATAGTTCTATAAGCAAATATAGTCCACACAATAAAACAAAAAAAATTCACTATGATGAAATGATACTATTTTTTTTTTTTTGGTACCAGGGATTCAACTTGGGACCTTACGCTTTCGAGGCAGGTGTCAGAGCCACTGAGCTAAATCCCTGGCCCCGAAAAATTCACTATGAAATATCATTACAATCAAATTGATTACCTCCTGAAATCAAATGTGTTTCTGTTATACTGTCTATACTTATTTCCCGTACCTCCACATATTCTTCAAATACTGACAATAAATACTGACAACAGTAACAAAAATTTTTTTTATAGTACTGGGGATTGAACCCAAGGCCTTCACACTGACTACCTCCCCAGCCCTCTTTTTTCGAGGAAGGCGGTGGAACCACTGAGCTAAATCCCTGGCCCCTCAGCCTTCTTTTTGAGACTATGTCTTACTAAATTGCTAAGATGACAAAACTTGAGATTCTCCTGCCTCATTCAGCCTCCCAGAGTGCGGGGGTTACAGATATATGCTATCACACCCAGCTATGACAACAAAATTTAAATGAATCACAAGCTTCCTATTTTAAGCTTTCTTGCTCTGTATTTCTTCTTGCTACTAATTTTTTTCCCTCATACTGGGGATCAAATCCAAGGCCTGTGTAACCTAGGCAAGTGCTCTCAGTGGGCTACATCCCTGCCATCCTGAGCCCTTTTTATTTTTTAAGACAGGGTTTTATTAAACTTCCCTAGCTGGCTTTGAACTTGTAATCCTCCTGCCTCTGCCTCCTGAGTAGCTGGGATTACGTCAGCCACTGCGCCACTTATTTCTTGAATAACAGAAATATCCAACAAGAATCTTTTCTAAAATGCAAGGCAAGGACTAAGGTTGTAGCTCAGTGGTAGAACAGGTGCTTAGCATGTGGGAGACTCTGGGTTTCATCCCTGGTGTGCGAACACACACCCACACACACAAAATTAAATTGCAGCATGTTTAAAGTTTTATCTGAGGCCAGGAGTGGTGGCACATGCCTATAATTCTAGCACTCAGGAGGGCTGGGGCAGGAGGATCACCATGAGGTCAAGGTCAGCTTGGGATACAAGTGAGTTCAAGGCCAGCTTGAGCAAAGCAAGACCTTGTCTCAAAAAATAAACCCAAAGTTTTAACTGAACTTTTGAAGCTACATGGGAGTTACCTGGGTATTCTGTCAAAGTAAATACTACTATATTTACTTTGACTGTGTTCAACTCAGACAAAAACAACCTGTAATCTTGCCTGAGCTTGACAAGTTTTGCTTTTTCCTGAATTTTCCAATGAGACATACTACAATCATCACTCTCCTTTTGCACCTCTATACCTGAAAGTTAGAGTACTTCTCACACACACTAACACGTAACATCTTTGCTATCTAGCTCTTCATGTATATCTACATCAATATATATAAGGCAAGTGTGGAGGTGCACACCTGTAATTCTCACATTCTGCAAGACTGAAGAAGAATCACAAGTTCCAGCCCAACCTAGGCAACTGAGACCTCGATTCAAAAATAAAAGGGCTAAGGATGTTGTTCAGTGCAAAGGCCCGGAGTTCAATTCCAAGTACTACCAAAAAATCTATTTCACTATTTTTTCCAACAAAAGTTACTCTGAGTAACCAAAAATGCCCAAGTAAATACAGGTAAAGTCTTCATCCCAAAGAAATATCCCTCAGAAAGGAAGGCATCACTTTATAGTCAGACCCTTACAAAACCTGTGGCACTACACAGTACTCTTTTATTTAAAGGAGAAAGGAGACAAAGGACCCCAAAAAGCCTGTCAGGTTGGCTGGATTGAGATTCCTGGAGCGCTAGCCAGATGCTGGGGGCACTGTGCTCATTGGAGCATCAAGTGCTGTTAGAATGTGGGGCCCAGCTGGAGGAAGTGGGTCTCTAGGGATATGCCTTTGGATGGTGTATCTCCCGCTGGCTGCTGCGCACTTCCCTGTATTCTACTTCTGTGCCTCTACCGAGTGAGCAGCTCTTCTCCACCATTTCCTTCTATCATTTTTGCCTTGGAGCCAAATGACCATGGGCTGAAAATAAACTTCTCCTCCTTTAAGTTATGGATATCAGGTAGTAAGTAGGCCCCAGCAGTCAGAAAGCTAAACAATATAGAGCTCAACCAGGCTCATTTTGGATGCTTACTGAGGTTCCCTAAATTTGCTTTTTTTCTTTTTTAATTTGCTGCTTTTTTGTTTTGGTTTTGGTTTATTTTTTATTTTACTTTTTGGTACTGGGGATCGAACTCAGGACCTTGCACCTGCAAGACGGTGGCACCGCTGAGCTAAATCCCCCATCCTGGTTTTGGTTTATTGAGACAGGGTCTCCCTATATAGTTCAGGCTGGCCTTGAACTCACTATGTAGTATAGGCTGGCCTCGAACTTGTGGCAATTCTTCTGCCTCAGCCTCCCAAGTGCTACCAAATAGTTTTTAATCCCCTTAACTCTCAAACAGAAAACATGAGAGCTTCAGGTAATATAAACTGATAGAAAAACAACAAAAATAGCAGAGTTGGAAGATAAAGATGAGGAAATCTACAAAACAAAGAAACTGGATAGAAAATAAGACAAAAGCAACAAAATTAGAGGGCTGGTTCTGAGAATCCAACATCCAATTAATGCAATATAGAGAATGAGAAAACAAAGAAAAATATGGAAAGAAAGCATCAGCAAAATAATTCAAGAGCCAGCTGTGGTGGCCCATGCATGTAATTCCAGGACTCAGGAGGCTGAGGCAGAAAGGATTGCTATGAGTTCGAGATTAGCCTATGCTACATAGTAAGTTCAAAGCCAGCCTGAACTATACAGTAAGACCCTGTATCAAAAACAAAACAAAAACCCACCAAAAACAAACAAAAGCCCCCCCAGAAACATTGAAATTGCTGGAAGATAACCTAGGGGAAACACTTGAAGCCACAGACACAGGAAAAAGACTTCCTGAACAGAACTCCAATAGCAGAGGAAATAATATCAAGAATCAACAAATAGGGTTACAACAAATTAAAAAGCTTCTATACCAGGTGTGGTGGCACATGCCTGTAATTCCAGCACTCTGGAAGGCTGAGGGAGGAGGATGACAAGTTTGAGCCACTTGATGACTTAGAAAAACCATGTCTCAAAATAAAAAATAAAAAAGGCTGGGGTTGTAGCTCAATGGGAAGGCCCTGTGTTCAAACTCCAGTACTGAAAAACAAACAAGCAAACAAAAACAATGAATGATGGCAAGGATGCAGAGGAAAAATGAACTTTCCCTATGTTGTTGGTGGAAATGTGAACCAACGCAACCACTATGGAAATCAGTATGAAGAGTCCTCAACAGAAATTCCACTTGACCTTCCAATACCTCTCCTGGGTATATTCTCAAAAGAACTAAGGATATCATACAGTGATATGTGTATACCCATGTTTACAGCAGTGCCATTCAAACAGCTCAGCCCTAGAAAGAGCCTAGCCACCTATCAACAGATGAATGGATGATGAAAACAAACATGGTCTATATACACAACGGGATCTTAGCCATAAAGAATGAAATTGTTCCATTAGCAGGAAAATGGATGGAACTCAAGACCATCATGCTAAGCGAAATAAGCCAGACTCAGAAATTTAAATATCACATGCTTTCTCTTATCTGAGAAACCTAAAATACTGACAAAATTTAAATATCGCATTGTTTTTCTGTCTTTTCTTTTCCACATTGTTTTTCTTATATGAGAAACCTAAAATATAAATCAGGAGCAAAATACAAGATATTAGGAAGTAGGGAGATCTTTTTCAAATGGAAAGGAGAATAAGAGATGGAGAAGGGAGGGCTGGGGACTTAGCTCAGTGGTTCTGCTGCCTGCCTTGCAAATGCAAGGTCCCAAGTTCGATCCCCGGTACAAAAGAAAAAGAGAGATGGAGGAGGTAAGGGGAAAGGAATTTTTAAAAATGAGTTGAAGAGGGAAAAATGGAAATACAGCTTTTGAAAATGGAAAGAGGAAGAAAAGTTGGAGGAAACAAGGAGGAAAGGGGACAAAAAAAAAAGAATCACGAGGCATTACGTACATGTACAAACTCTCCATGATAAATGTAACCTTGTATACTGCAAACATGTATTAATAAAAAAATAAAGGAGAGACAACAGGAAACTAAAAGTTAGATTCTTAGAGATGGGAAAGGGGACCACGGAGAGGTCAGAAGGAAAAAGGGGAGGGAGGAATTGAAAATGATCAAGGTAAGTTAAACACATATACCAGTTTCTCAAAACAAACATCACTATTGTGTATTACAAACATGAACTAATTTTTAAAAAAAGATTTAAAAAAGAAAAATTTCTACAAGATTGCAGGGAGAAAAAAATGAAACAATCTTATACCAAGGATCAGGAACCAGAATAGCTTCAGACATCTCAACAAAACAAAGTAAAAAGACAAAGGAACAATGCTTTCATTAACCCCTCTCCAAAATGACTTCGACGTTGGGATTTCAATAAAGCCAAACTTGGTATTAAGGTTGAGTATAAAGGCAGTCTCAGACACTTCAGCTTTCCAAAAAACGTCTCCCATCAGTAACATTTAGGGGGCTAGGTGAGTAGCTCAGTAGCTGATGTGTGATACCTTTGGGTTCTATCCTCAGCACTGCCAATGACACCAACAACATCATCGTCATCATCATCACAATTTAGGAAAGACCAAGTACATATTTAATCAAGAGAACTAAAAACCCAGATGCTTGATGTGTGCTTCACTTACCTTTTGGATTTCTAGACTCGAGTCAGCATCATCCACAAACTCTAGAGGTGGAGAGGGCTTGTCAATGACTGTCCTTTGGCCCCCAAGTGGCTGGGCACAGGGTTTCTCCTGAGGGTCTATAACCACTCTCCTGATACAGAAGGTGCCCTTGTCTAACACAGGCCTTTCCTCTTCCACCCTGACCTGTGGGGATGGCTCTTTCTTCTTCTGGGGAGCAGTGAGGCAGACGCTCCGGGCTGGTCCTTGGTCTCTTGGACTTGGCTTCACCCTGGGGGCTGCAGCCTCTCCTTTCCTTCTGGGCATCGACTTTCCCAGGATGCCCTGGATAGCTTTCAGGTAGATGACAGTGGAGCCCTGGTCTTGAAGCCTATCCCTTTTCCTCTTCTGGATCTTGTCTGGCTCCTCCATCATATCATTCTGACCCTCAGCTTTAGCTGCAAACTCAGAGCTGATGGAGTTACGGGAACTATCTTTGGAATCAACCTGGAAGGAAAAAGCCACTTTTCAAAGGGTTATCCTGAGAGCACTTTCACGTCTGAAGCACTTGGCACATTACAAATCCATGGTAATTCTGCCAGCCAAAACACAAGTGATTGTTGCTGAGAAAAAGATGTTTTCACGATGGGGATCTCACCCTACTCCGGGGAAAAGCGCCACTACAAAAGGGACTGAACTGCAGCTATTTCTTATCCCCTGCCTTCTCAGCCATTGGATGACACCCTGTGTGGTGGTGGGAAGGAATGAGCTGGGATTAGCAGTCAAATGAGACAAGCTCCTGGAGGCAAGGCCTACCACAGGCCTTACCACACACGGAGACAAAACAGCAACTCCAGACTTTCCCACTGAGACAGCTCAGTACCATATCTCAGAGTCCAGGAAACCTAAGGACCCAGGGAGGGTCAGGGTGGGTCCAGCAAGCTCCAGCTCCCATTCAGACTCCAATGTCCCATGTCCTAAGAGTTCTTCCCACTCCACCCCAAGCCTCCTTCAAGTTTCTTGAAGGAACTCCTTCCCCAAATCACTATCTTGGTGCAGAAGGAGGACCCCTGTCCCCGACTGCACCAAGCTCCATCAGGAACATTCAGCTTCCCTTCATACCTCCCCCATCTCCCCAGAGACTATGCTCGGTCTCAGTCCGTTCCTTCCTTCTTTTCCCTCAGGGGAAAAGCTAGACTATTTGTCTGCAAAATTACTTTGCTGTGAAACTGAGAACCAGTCTAATCACACCTGGTGTAAGAACACTGCATAAATCTCTAAAAGCCAGGCGTGGTGGTGCACAGCTATAACTCGAGCACTGAGGAGCCTGAGGCAGGAGATCACTGTCAGTTCCAGGCCAGCCTGGGCTACACAGTGAGTTCAAGTCCAGCTTGAACTACATAGCGAGACCATTTCAAAACAAAAAATCTCCCCAAGAACCATCCCAAAAGCCAAACCTTCTCAGCAGTGACCTGTAGTGGGCATTCTACAGGCCCTACAATTTGTACTTCTAACTCATTTGTATTAAATTCCTCTCAAATGTAAAATGTAAATACACTCAGAAAAAGGAACCCCACATCAAGTTTACTAATCCTTTTTCTCTACTGTGAAGTTGGATCTAGTTGGAAATACTGTATACAGATGTTAGTATAGGCTTAGTACTTTTTTCCTAGAAGTACTTTAATCAATGGCAGCTGTTATTTTGGAAAGGTAATCAGGAAAGGTGGCTTATACTTTGATTTTGAACCTCTCTGAAGTTTCTAATACATGAATTTTCCAAGTTGGGCATATAATCCTAGCACTTGGAAGGCTGAGGCAGGAGGACCGCCACAGGTTCAAGGCCAGCCTGGGCTACAATAATGAGTTCAAGACCAGCCTGAACTGTATAGGGAGACCCTGTCTCAAAAAACAAACAAAAAATTTTTCTAACATGTGTCTACAGGCAATATCTGGGAAAAGGAGGCAATGGATCATTCTTATTTTCTTAACACTTGCATACATTTAAGAAAATCTAAGGATTGGGGATGTAGCTCAGTGGTAGCGTGGGGAGACAAAAAGTAGGAAGATCATAGGGTGGGATCACACAGGTCTTGAGTTCCAAGCAGAGGTTTAGGCTAGAGTGGCTTTTTTTTTTTTGGTGCTGGGATTGAACCAAGGGGCCTCCACATGCTAAGCATACATGCACACTGCCACTGAGCACCCCATCCCAGAGTCACAAGCATTTTGCTTATTTGTGTTGTGTGTGTGATTATGGGGACCAAATGCAGACGCTTGGGAATGCTAAGCACACACTGTACATACTCCCAGTCCAGAGTCATCTATCATCACCATCATCATCATCATCATCATCACTATTGTGCAGAGCTAGGAATTGAAACCAGGGCTTCACATACCGTAGGCATGCATTCTACCAGTGTGTGACATCTCCAGTCCCTTTAAATTTTAGACAGGGTCCTCCTATACTGCCAGCTTTAAACTTGTAATCCTCTTCCCTCAGCCTCCTAAGTAGCTGAGATTACAGGACGTGCTACAGTGCCCAGCAGTCTTTTTTTTGAGACAGGGTCTCACTATGTAGCTTAGGCTGGCCTTGAACTCTCTACACAGCCCAGGCTGGCCTCAAACTTGCAGCATCCTCCTCCTGAGTGCTGGGATTACAGGCATGCGCAGCCATGCTTGGCAAAGTGATCAATTTTTAAAGTGTGTTTTCTAAAATTTTAAATTCTGTGCTTGGAGGACTTAGCAGGCCTCACTCTATCCATAAACCTGTTGTTTGCCAACGCCGGCTGTGAAGACCAAGACTACAGTGAGGGTAGAAAGGAGGGTTAGGATATAATGATATGCCTTATACTTTCATATAGATTTGTAATTCACAGAGCTGCTACACCTGTGATCCTGTTTTACAAAAGGGAAAACTGCCACATAGCTTCTAAGTGGCAGAACTAGAATTCAAATTCAAGTTCTCCTAACATCCTAAAAACAATGGGGAAAAAAAAGAGTTTGAAACATAAAAGTGCAGGGTGTGGTGGCACACACCTGTGATCCCAGCACTTGAGAGAGACTGAGGCAGGAGAATCTCTGTGAGTTTAAGGCCAGCCTGGACTACACAGGGAGTTCAAGGCCAGCCTGAAGTACATAGTGAGACCCTGTTTCAAAAAAAACAAAATAAAAACCAAAAGTAAAAAACAAAAAACATGAAAGTGAGGAAAAGAGGTTACCGAGGTCAGAGATAGTAAGCACCTAAAATGAAAGTCAGTGGGGATGTTTTGACAAGTGCAAAAGCCTACAAAGGCAAGGTTTAGGCAAGCCTTGGGCAGAATATGCAAAAGATGAGATAACCACCTAGCTTCAAAAAGTAGAGATTTCATTTTCCTGGTGGAACTGCTTGATGAATCATACATTCTGAAGACAGGAGGGAAAGAGCAAGTGGAGAGGTCATGCTAGCCCTTATCAACAAACATACTGAAATAAACTAAACCTAAAATGATGTGTCAATAAAGAAAAAAAGCCCAGCAGGGTGGTGCACATCCGTAATCACTGAACTCCAGAAAGGCTGAGGCAGCAAGATCCAAGTTTGAGGCCAGCAATTTAGCAACTTAACAAGCTCCAGAATAAAAAATTAAAAGGGCTGGGGTTGTGGTTCAGTGGTAGATTGCTCCTGAGTCCAATATCCAATGCTAAATAAGTAAAAAAATAAATAAGGATCATCAACTAACATTAGAATTTGAGAAACCCTCTTGATCAAATGTCCTGGAAATAACAGAGGAGCAAAGTAAGGCGGGGCAGCAGGAATCTCCAGTGATTCTAAAATCCCTAGGGCTGGGAATGTCTGACTCAGTGGTAGAGCTCCTGAAGCCCTGGGTTCCACCTTGAGCACCGCAAAAAAACAGAACTCTCAAACCTCATCCTTCTGAATACTGTATGCTGTCTCTTGGCACTGGGAACTGGATGAGGAATGCTGGGGGCACACAAAGAAAGCCCAGTGTATGACCCCTCAAAATTTACACAAGACACATAACAAGTGGGTAGGTAAAAGCAGGAGAATGGAAGGTGATCTTGGAAGGATCTAGAAAAGAACATGGTTTCTGTCAGTGCCCCTCAGATGTGGTTGCTCAGACTTTGGACTTACTAAACAAACAAGTTCCCACGTGACTGCAGAGCAAGGGGAAGAGGTACAGACTGAGGCAAAAAGCAAGAAAGGCAGTTTGTAATTCACCAAGATGAGCGAAGGATTGGGCCTTGTTTCAAACAAGCCCATGCCCTAGTGTCAGAGATGGACAATTAGATGGGTGCTCTCAATACCCTCACATATGGTACCCTCAGTGGAAGCCATGTTTCTACTTACAATGTCAATCTGCCTTTTCTCTATATTTATCCTTACAGAAACTCTCTAATAACTTAGAATGCAATCCCAGATTTGGGATTTGGCTGCTAAAGTCTTGCTGCCATCTGCTCACTTAGCTCTCCAGCACCCATCACACTGTGGGGGAGTCATATGTTTACCTCTGCAGCCCCATCACTACACTCTCTGCTCCTCACAAGGCATATTATCTGACACTCTACCCAAGCTCACTTGGATGGCTTAATGACAAGGTTAAAGTACATCAGCCAGGTGTGGTGATGCACACCTGTAATCCCAGCACTCAGGAAGCTGAGGCAGGAGGATCGCTGTGAGTTCGAGGCTAGCCTGGACTATATGGTCAGACACTATCTCAAAAAATGAAAAAAGAAAGATAGATAGGTACATGAACAAAGCCCTACATTTACTTGACTTACATCAGTCATACTTCAGTATTCTTACACCTTTTTACCGTTTTTCAAGTCTGTTTATAAATAGTATTACTCGTAAGTTAAAAAAAAATAAAGACATCCATGCACTCACTGAGTTCAGACTGTGAGGTCAACATGGAAAAATGTGGGGCACCTACCCAAAGGGTTCCCTAGAATACACAACCAAATACAAAATACCTCATTTCTCAGGTACATGTAAGAAGCCACTCAGGAAGGCTTAAAAATAATTCTAATTCTTGTAAGGCATGCTTTTATTACTTGTGTAAAATAACTTTCCCTAGGAGCAATGCCTATCTCATCTCAATTAAGTTCTTTTCTTGCACTCCTTCACATACAGAATTCCTCACCTTTTCCAGACCTGCAGTTCAAAACCTAGAAAGTAGACTCTATTCAGACACTACCAGGCACACACCAGGTCCTCAGTAAACCTCTGTCTGAAGCCTGACTGACTAGGTGATAGAACGGAGCGCCCTTGTGAGGCACTCCTGTTTGCCTCAAGTATTGATAAATCCCTCCTATGTATTTCTAGTGAAGGACAAGACTGCTGACCTCCAAAACCAAAACTACCTGGGAGGCTGAGACAGGAGGATTGCCTTGAGTTTGAAGCTACCCTGAACTACACAGAGACCCTGTCTCAAAAAAACAAAAACAGGGCCGGGGATTTAGCTCAGTGGTTCCACTGCCTGCCTCGAAAGCGCAAGGTCCCGAGTTCGATCCCGAGTACGAAAACCAAAACAAAACAAAAACAAAGACAAAACAATCACCACAAAACTGGAAAACCAAGCAAAACTCTAATAATGCTGGAAACTATGACTTTAGTGAAAGCCACAACAAGAACCAAATTCCTTGAATCTGTGATTCAGCATGGTTCAAGGTACAAGAGCACACAATTCCCTAAACTGACTGAAACATAAAGCATCTTTTTGTCTTCTCCTATTGTAGGGATGGTCCAGCCCGGCTGCACATTTACAAACACCTGAGAAGCACGTGAAAATCTGGAAGCCTAAACTACACTTCAGTTGGTCTGGTGTGGTAAAGCAGGCACAAGTATTTTGCAGCTTTCCAAGAAGTCCCCAAATGCCATCAAGTTTGAAAACTCTCCACTCAACTTTGGGCTACCCCAGGAGGTCGGCGATCTTCCCAATATGGGCGGAGCAGGGAAGACCCCAGAGATCTTCAAAGACCTGATCTTTTTTGAGTTTCCTCCCAACAAACGCCCAACTCCAACCTCTCAAGCCACGCGGAACGGGCTTCGCCGATTGCAAGGCGTAGTGGATACTAACCTTAAGGAGGCAGGCGTCCTCCTCGAGAGAAGCCATTTCTTCCAAGGAGGCGGCGGGACGGCGCAGAGGGGATACCTTGGACGAAGGGCACCTCCGAGCGCTCCGACTCAGGTAGCCTCGGGAGGCGGCCCCGCCCACACCTACCCCGGAGGAGCGGGAGGAGGACGTGGAGCAGGAGGAGCAGGAGGAGCAGGAGGAACAGGAGCAGGGGGAGGAGGAGGAGGAGGAGGGGGAGGAGGAATTTCTGCGGCGCGAGGAGGAGCTCCGGGGTAGTCTGGACGCGCAGGCCGCATCGTCCTCCCGGGTTTTCAGGCGCGCAGGGCTGAGGGCCGCTCGGGAGCGCGACGCAGAGCCAGGAGGCTGCCGGCTGGAGGGGGCCACATCACCGGGGCCCCGGAGGCAGCTGCGCTTGCGGGGACGCCCTTCCGAAGGGCTGCCCCAGCGGTACCCGGCCTTGCGCCGCTCCGACGCCATGGGCACCTGAAGGAAGGCAGAGGGGCCTGGGCTCAGCGCGCCTTCGTGCCGCTCCCGCTCCCTCCCTCCCTCCGCCGCCGCGGACTGCGGCCACTGACCTCTCCTGGCCGCTGCCCATCACAGTGTCCGAGGTTTAGAGACCCGCCGCGCCCCGGAGAAGTCCAGCGAGCCGGCCTCCTGCCCGCAGAGGCCCGGTCCACACCCGCGGCGCGCTCCCGAGGCCGCCCGACGCTTCCGTGTGCGCGGCGCGACGCGCGACGACGGCTTCCGGAGCGGGCGCCGCCAGGGACGCCTGTGGGCCGCGGGCGCCGAGGCCGAGGGCAGGGCCGGTCCCCGCGCGGCAGCCCGCCCCGGCAGACCGCCTCAGGACCGCCTGCCCGCC